TACACACCTTCCTTTGTAGTATAAATTATTTGAACATCTCTAGGAAGTCTGTCTCAACATGTCTAGCTATCACTAAAATATGTAAACAGTTAAGAAACCAAAAATAAGAGGGTCATATCCTCTTTCCTTTTCTTCTTCTTCTTATTTGTTCGGGGAGATAACTGAAACCATTTGGGGTGGTTTGAGTATATATGCAGATATGCCTTCTAATGGTAAACAATGCATGCTTGTTTCACCTAGTTTTTCAGGAGGAGACTTAGTTTAATGAAACAAAACAAAATGTCAGCTCCATAAAGGTTAACAAAAAATTCCAAGTTTGAATTTTAAAATTGTAGCATGTTTGAATTTAAGTTTGGAGAGTTTTGTTTTCAGTATCGTCAAGCAAGATAAAATCTTGCTATTTTGATATATTTCATTTTTTAGAGAATTGTTTAATTTTTCTTGGTAAGAATTTTTTAACCTAACCAGAAATGATTGCTAACAGAAATTGAAATGATCATTCTTCTGTAGACTAAAGGCAAATAACTTTTTTCTTGCTCTTCATGGCCTCAGGCTAATTAACGTGGAAAGCTTGAAACCTAAGTTGCTCTGCTGTTTCACCCTTCTTGGGTACTTATGAGCTATTTCATAAATGACTTTCCTGAATTCCAGTCAAGAAAATCAGGGCCTAGGGGCAATGAATCCAGACAGAAACCACCTCTATGGTCAAGTTATTGTTTCGAAGCCCTAATAAAACAATTAAAGCTCCTTGAGTCAATGACCCATATGGCTGTGTGTTTGAGACTTCAGCCATGATGGACTTTATAGTTTCATTGCATCTTTACCCACTTTCATAGTTTTCTCTTATGAAATTATTGTTTGTTTATGGTTAAATTTACTTAAGCATTCTTTTAATTAAGAATAATGAAAAATATTCAGGAAATTTGATTTTAATTTAAACATTTCAAAAATTCTGTTTTGTATAAACTTAGACATATACAGACACTTAAGTTGGTCAGTGAAGGTAGGTTATTCAGATGGCTTGTTTTTAAATTTCAAATGATTGTATCCCTTGATTAATGAATACTTTATATTTTAATATGTTAAGCGCAGGCATGTACACTGTAATTGTCAATTGCATAGTAATTTCTCAAAAGTTGGTCTAGGTTTAGTATTAATAAATTAATTTGATAATATATAATTCTATAAAACAATTGCCATCTTGGAAAATATATTGCAAGGACTCTTTTCTAAATACAGTTGAAAAGGAATACTTTGGTGAAATACTTTCCACATAATTTAAAAGTTACTTCTCCAAAAAATTAGGTAGATTCTTGTACTGGGATAAAAGCAACATATTTTCTTCCAGTACCACATATATAGTCACCTAACAGCAGATTCATTTTAGGAAAGATTTATTGACTTCTATTAGAAAGTTGGAAGAAGATTTCTATTATATAATATATTTAACACAATATACAGATGAGGTTTTGAGAAAGTATTTTCAATTTCATTTAAAAAGATGGAAATGGCATAGTAAAGTAAATGAGTGGAGTGAAGTTATACTTTTGCACTGAGCATTTTTTAGTCAAATATTAACTACAACATTGTGAATGGAGTTTGCCTTTTTCAAGGTTGGTCTCTAGTTCCTCCTTTGTCTCCATATATGATTAGTCTCTGAATTCTGCAACAGTATCCTTAGAATGCATTTCTTTTCTGAGGACCAGAGCTACTACTGCAATTTAAAGCATCATTATTTCTGGTCTGGATCATTGCAGAAACCTAATTGACATTCCTAATTCTAGTTAATCCAGTTTGCTAATTTTTGTTTTTGTTTGCCTTCATGTGGTTTACATCTCCAGTGGTGGGTTTATCAGCAATGCCTCATGATGCTTAGTAATTTGGAGTAAGAGGAGAGTTGTCAAGATGCCTCTCTTCTCCAGTTCATCACAGTCCAAAATATGTATCTTCCAAATCAGTCTTCCTGGAAATGCCATGTAATACCTGTAACATTTATTAGATGTGACTAAGGTATGATTTCTGCTATTAAGAAGCTTATATTCTAATAAATTGCTGTATATGTTTGTGAGAGATTGTACTAGATGACCTTGAAGGTTCTGTGATGCTATCACATTTCTTTCAAGGCTAGATTGAGGTTCACTTTGTCCACAAAACTTTCCCTGACTAAAAAAAATTATCTTTTGCTTTTAAGTCTATAATCTCATATAGACTAAACTTCTGACATACTTGCTAATATATTTCTTGGCCTTGTTGTACCTGAAAGAGTTCTTTGTGATGGCATTTATTGTATGGAGATTGCAGAACTTCTGTCACAAACTACACAGAAAATAGGATAGTAAATTCAAGAGACAGGAAATGTGAAAGCAAAAAGGTAAAAATGTAACCTTTGATGTTAGGTGAATATAAAAGTTGTCTGAACCTTAACCCAGTTGGTAGAACTTAAGGCATTAAAGTATCCACAGTGAAACCAGAGTGGAACAGGTTTCAAAGACATTTTAGAAACAGTCCTGTTTAAAAGCCATTTTACTTCCTTTTTTAAAAAGAACTGTCTGTGCATATTTGTTCCTTTTTTTAAATTAGGCATTTGGTCTTTTACTAATTGATTTATAAGAACTCTGTATATAACATCTAATAATGAATTATCCCTTTGTCATTTGAGTTACAAATGCTTTTTGCTAGTTAGTCTTCTGACATTATTTATATTGTTTCTCTACATGTAAATTTGATTTTTCTTAGAGTTTCATATTTTTAGAGCAGTTTTAGCTTCGCAGCAAAATTGATCGAAAAGTGTAAGAGTTCCTATGTACTCTGTCCTCACATATGCACCGCCTCATTCACTCTCATGGTGGAACGTCCCTACCACATCAGGGTAGAACATTTGTTACAGTGATGAACGACTGATTGAACAGTTTGTTACAATCAGTGAAATTTGATTTTTTCAAAAATTTTTTAGTCTTTTATCACTTAGGAGGCACTTAGGAGATGTCATTTTTTTTTAGTATGATTCCATTTATTTTCTTTTTTTAATTTATTTTTTATAGCGGTAACATTGGTGGTTATTTGTTTGACAAGTCTTCTCTATTCTTGAAATTAAAAAAAAGTTATTCCATAATAGAAGTGATAACAATGGCAGTAACAAGAAATAGTACTAATTCATATTGATTGCTTACTCTGTACCAGGCCCAGTTCTTAACAATAGCTTGATTAGTAGGTAGGTTGAATTATTAGCTTCATTTTATAGAACAGGACGTAGAGGTACAGAATGTTTGAATAACCTGTCCAAAAGTCATGTAACTCATATATGGTAGATTCTGTCCCAGGCTGTTTGGGCTTAGAGTACAGGCTCTTAAGCCAATATGCTATGCTACTTTTTAAAAAACATTTTATTATTTTTTTAATGTACTTATTTGGGATATTAGATTTGAGGTAGGAACTCAACTTTATTTTTGAACTGCGTAGATAGAGGAGGAGCCAACAAAGGGGAGTGTAAAGAATTGATATTCATGGTAGGCGTAAAGCAAGGGATGTGATGGAGCTTGTTGGGATAGTACTGAGATTTAAGATAAGGAAAGATATTTTGGCCAGATGAAGTGTGTTTGATGATGGGTGTTTCAGTTGAATGGACTGAAGCAGAAGTCAGATGGGACCTACGTGGGGGGTACGAGAACACAGAAGCAGTGAAAACAAGTCTTTTGAAAAGTGGCTCTGTATTTGAGGAAGGGCAGGGGGCTGTAGAGTAAGGAAAATTATAATTTTTTTAGAAAGGTGAAAGGTGTTGCAATGCTGATAGGAAGGATTTAAGTAGAGAAGAGAAAGAAGGAGATAGAGGTGGGAAGCTATTCACTAGTTGAGGTTCCTGAAATTAAAGAGAGGATGGGCTCTGAAGCATAGATACAGGAATTTGCTTTGTATAGAAGATGCTTTGTTATTTCTAGAGGGTGAGGAAAAAGACACGAGTGTAGATACAAGTGATTGTGAGGTTGATGGTGGCAAATGAGAGTTCCCATTTGATGCTGTTGTTATTTTCTCTGTGAAGTAGATGTCCTCTGTGGAGTGGAGTTAGAAGTTTGAGGGAGGTTGGAAGTGTGATGAGATGGGAGAAGTTTTGAATTAGCTATTATGGAGAACAAGAGAGGAACTGATGAGAGCAAACTAAGGGCATTTTTGAACCTTATTGAAGGCCCACTCACTGAAAGCTGGTGATGACAGTATGAATTAAATTTTTTTTCTAGCGACTTTCAGGCCATTTCTGCCATCACACTTAATGCAGTTAATGCTCTTTAATTATTTACCACCAGTGTAGAATTAAAAAACAGTCATACTGCTTTTAGAGCTTGCCAAGCTAGTGTTACATGTATTGAATAGAGTAAATTTGGAGGATGAAAAACATCAGTATTTTTCACTTCATTTTTGTATCCTTAAATAATGGAGAACATTTCTTGGCAATAGATTTTGAATGTATATGCTACTTTATTTAACTTCTGTTGATATGGATGTGACCCTTGGATAACTTGTAGAGGATTATGAGATGAGATCAAATATTTTAAGTTTAAGCATATGTGGTCTTGAATACCTAAATGGCAGAATAATAAGGATTTTGATGGTGAACCCATCTCTCTTAGAGTATAATTTTCAAAATATATAGAAAGTTTTCCAACAATGTCCTCAAATCTAAATTCATCCATTATTAAACTTGTTTGTTTGTTTCTTTACACAGGGTGTGATAGGTATACAGCTGGTTGTTACCATGGTGATGGCCAGTGTCATGCAGAAGATTATACCTCACTATTCTCTTGCTCGATGGCTACTCTGTAATGGCAGGTAAGGCAAGGATAGGCTGATTTTGACTGGCACTTTCAAATCTCTGTTTAGTTTACCAGGCTGATTAACTTCCTAAAGTTAAGTGCTTATTCCAATTTTCTAAAAACATGAAAAAGGAAAATTATGAGAAATACCTAGCTTCCTTATTTCTCTTATTTGAGATTCTAGTATTTTATCTGCTTAGTGCAAAAGGTGATAGAGTCATGGTCAAGAATTTAGTCCCCTCTTCCCTGTCCCCTTCTGTCCATGGCCATTCAAAATACCACATGACTTTTCTAGTTACCTTTAAATAAAGTTGGACAACAAGAGGCAGAAATTGAAGTGCTTACATATTTTCACCACTGTTGGAAAAAATGTCCTATAGTAGTCAAAGCACATGTCCTATTCTTGGTGACTTAGTTGAGAGCTTGTTATGAGAGATGGGGTTTCTTTGTTTTACTGCAAAGAATTTTAAACTTTGATTTAGCAAGGAGGGGGTGAGGTTATTTTATGATACTAATTTTGTTTACTGCACTGTAAGCTTACTCATATCCCCACTCCTTCTGCAGAGTAGCTGTCACCTTGTTGAAATTTGTACAATAAATGAATAAAATCAAAAAGAAAGAAGTTAAATATAGGAGGTACAGTGAGGCAAAAGCAGTAAAACTCTGCACACAGAAATACATGCCACGGTCTTGTGTAATTATGAAAGGTAATTTATAGATTTGGTACCATGACTACAGTTTTACTACAATTATTCATCTCTAATAAATAACCAAATTCTGTTAATGATTTGTATATCAGTTTTCTTTTGTTTAGACCTTTTGATGTTAAAAAACAATGGATAACTCTTATCCTCCTAATGATTTTGTAAATTGCAAGACAAATAATGTGTTCTATCCACAAAACTTAAATTTTCTCCATAGAATTTATTTTCTAGTTTTAATTATTCTTCTTCTCTAATGCTTTATTCTTTTCCCATATCAATGTTCAAGTATAGGAAAATATTCAGACTGTTTAAAAAGTGTTTTGAACACTGCACACAATGTGTATAGAATATGTGAGAGAACAGTAGTTTAAAAATGTATATTTTATTAGCAAAATAAATAATGACTAATGTTTTAGTAAAGTTGAAAGCCTCTATCAGAGCTATTTATAAGTGAAAAGAAAAATCAATTATATGTAACTAGTTTTTAACTATGCAGCTTTGTGCCCTGTGCAATCTTGCTTACTTTGTTTTGCTTAACATAGATCATGAAAGGGTGAACATCTGCCAGGCAAATATCATTAATTCTAAATAAATAGAATATTAATTTTAAAACTAGTAAAGTACATATTAAGGTAGCTTATTTTCTATTGAGAATTGTATATTTCTAGACTCTGTTTATGGTAAGTCTGCAGGGAGACTTCCAGGCCTCTTTTGGCTTTCTAGATCTTGGCAGTCTTGTCCCATTTTAGTCTATAGGCAATATCTACTTCTTACATAATCTGCTTTCCCTTTGTTTCTATAAAAATTATATTCACCAGTGAAAACTAAAACTTCAGAGAATGAAAGCTGATTCTCTTCTCTATTAATATGAAACGATGTATTTAAAATCTTTACTTTTTTGACAAGTATGTCTTAAGTATTCATACTTCTCATTTGAAGAGGAGCTCAACCTTCAAAAGTAAACATGAAGTTACTGTTTTTTGTGATCTTGATTTGCTTTTATAACTAGATTAGTGTTAATTAATGCTGTCTTTAATTCCAAATCAGGTTTCAAGGATACTGATCAGAATTTTCTAGTAATAGTTACTCTTCTGCTATAGTTAGTTTCATTTTCTTTCTGTGTTTTTGTTTGTTTTGCTCTGTGTCCTTAAGAGCATCTATTTTTTTAAATGCTAATTCTGAAATTTTTAGGTCTTGGAGCCACATTGCTGAATGTTGTCTAACTGTTGAATAAGACCATTGATACTACCATTTTGGGAGAATTATTGTTCTTGAAGTGATACTGTTTTAATATTAAGAAAATGTAAAATCTCTTCTAAATTGCTCATGTGAAAATATTATTGATCAGAAATGACAGTTTGCATTTTAAACCATATGATGCTGCTGAGTTGAAGAAAGAGAAAGGAAAGATCCGATGGCCTTCTTTGTTGTCAATAAATGCTTAAAGGAATTTAAGGGGAGAGGCTTATGAGGACTTTTAAAATTACGAATAGTGTAGGATGGTTTGGGGGTGACTCTGTTGAGTAGATCTGTTTCATAGAGCTATTCAAGTGTATGGATGTACAGATACCACAATAGGTTAATCATGAGTATGACAAAAGAAACTTCTTAGTTTCGGCATATGTCATCTTAATTTTTATTTCACTAGTATCATTTATTCAAATTGCAAAAATTGATTTTTTTAAAGTTATGTTTTCTCTTTTTATTATGTAAATTAGTTTCTGTCCAAGTCTCTCATTGACCTCTGTCTCTTTTAGAATGGAAGGTGTGAAGTGGCACCTGTTATATTATGTTGGCTTAATGAGTAAGCCTACCATTTTCTTGAATAAGTCAGTACCTTGAAGAAATTAGCAATTTTTGCTTATAAATTAGCCTGTTGATTTTTAATATTAAAAAAATTGACTAGTTTTCTAGCTCTTGTTAAATAATATTTATATAGTCATTAGTATTATAGATCTTAGTTTTTTTTTAATGCAGTCTTTAGCCTGGTTTAATTCCATTAATTTACCTTCAAAATGTTGTAAAACTTCATACTGATAAAATTTTTATTTCTGTTATCTCATTTGGATCTGTATACTTTGAACTTGGTAGAAGAGGAGATGTATTGGGGTATGTTATGACTTCAGAAATCTCAGTGTCTGAACTTAATAAAAGTTTCCCAGACAGGAATCAGGGTCAGATGGGGAACCTCAGAGGGGTCAGGCAGCTCTCCCTCACAAAATGGTAATTCAAGGATTCACGTGGTTACTTACGAGGCTTCTTCTGTCTTGTGGCTCCCCTGTTTCTTCTACTTCCTGGAGTCCTTCTATTAGATGCTATTCCAGTTGGCAAGTAAAGAGAGAGTGGGCTGTGGATATTTCAGGAGATTCTAGGAGCCAAGCTTAGAAGTCCAGATATCATTTCTGTCCACATTACATCATCTGGAGCCCTGTGACTGGTTCAGGCCAGTGTGTAAGAAAGGCTGGGACATGTAAGTACTTTTCATTGTACCCAGGAAGTAAAAGCAGGATTGGTGAGTGTCTAGTCCTTCTTTGCTATAGGTAGTACTGTCTCCATTTTCATAGGTGAGAAAACAAGTTTTAGCTTTACTCTTGTTCACATACTGAAAAATGAAAGAGATCCAGGCCTCTCACCCTTGAAAACCTGATTCATGGTCTCGTATTTATTTGATTTATGGCTGCTCATCAGCTCCAGGCCCTTGTCCTGGAACTGCTGTACTTGAACAGAGATTTGAATTTGGTGGAGGTGAACTTTTCTACAAGCACTGTAACACTCTGTTGGCAGTTTAGAGAGTAATTTATTTAAGGTTTTCTTTTTTCTACCTTTTTTCCTAGCTGTACTTCTAGAAGGTATCCTCAGGTTATAGGTAACATATGATTTCTCTTTACTTACTGTACTCCTATGGCTTCTCTAGGAGTATATAGTCACCTTTTATTCTTAACTAAATTAAAGGGCTCATCAGCATTTCTTGGATTACTAAAAAGCATGCTAAGTGTAAGTAGAGTGTAAGAAATAACATCTGTTCTTAAAATTATACATCTCACCTCAATTTGCAATTAAATTTATTCCACATT